AGTAGTTTACATGTTTCTGCTATTTCCTTTAAGAATGTTAATAAAGATTGCACTACTTGTGGCTTATGTACGAATCATATTTTACCTTTTCCTTCTCACTCTAAGCATGCTACAATTCCTTTTCATTTAATACATAGTGATGTTTGGTCGTCTCCTGTTGTTTCACGATTGGGTTATAAGTACTTTGTAACCTTTATTGATGACTGCACCCATTTCACTTGGGTTTATTTTCTTCGAAAGAAATCTGAAGTTTATTTTGTATTTAAACACTTTCATACTTATGTTACTACCCAATTTGATGTCTGGATATGTGTGCTACGATTGGATTTAGGGGGAGAGTATTTTGATGGGGATTTCCAAACTTACTTAAAACAACATGGAATTCAATCCCAAAAATCTTGTCCAAGCACCCAACAACAAAACGAGGTAGCAGAAAGGAAGAATGGGCATATCTTGAGTGTAGTCAGAACACTTCTACAGGATTTCCATGTACCCTCTTGGTTTTGGGTGGAGGCGGCCAGCACTACTATGTATCTCATAAATCGTCTTCATTCATCTGTTTTAAATAATTCTTCCTATTTCCAATCTTTCTTCCACAAACCTCCAAATCTATCTATGCTCAGGGTTTTTGGCTGTGCTTATTTTGTTCACCTTCCACCTCATGAATGCACAAAGCTAACTACACGAGTGGCTTTGTGTGCCTTTATGGGGTACCGTTCTGAACATAAAGGATTCCTATGCTATGATCCTTTATGGAGTACAGTGTGTCTTTTTTTGAACATATTGTAAAATTTCCAGCTCCTTCCACTTCCTTGTTGCATAGTTTTGACTCTATAGGTACCTCAAGCATACCAATATCACCTCCGCAACAACTTCAAACCTACTTCAGGAAGAAACGGTCCTCTTCAGTCTCAATGCCCCCCTCCGCTCCACCACCAGCTGCTAATCCAATCACTCCAATTGCCCCAGTAAGTGCACCTGATCCTCCACTTGAACCCACTTTACATTGTTCTTCTAGAAATTCTCGCCCACCTAACGCTATGGTTTTTCACCGAACCATAGCTCCTTCTCTGCTATTTTATCTACCACAAACATTCCCAAATCTTACCAACAAGCTGTAGTAGAACCACATTGGAAAGATGCCATGGATTCTGAGATCCAAGCCCTTCTTGAGAATGACACTTGGGACTTGGTCAAAGCTCCACCTGAGACATCTCTCATAGGGAATCGATAGGTCTACTTCGTGAAACTGAAATCTGATGGGGCCTAGATAATTACAAGGCCAGGTTGGTTGCACAAGGCTATAAACAGGAATATGGAATAGACTATGAAGAGACCTTTGCTCTTGTAGCAAAATGACCATTGTACGACTTCTGATGGCTATATATGCAGCTAAATAGTGGACATCCATCAAATGGATGTAAAGAATGCTTTCCTCCATGGGGAGTTGAAGGAGACAATCTATATGAAGCCCCCTCCTGAATATTGTACAAACCCACAGCTTGTTTGTCGTCTGAAGAAGTCACTCTATGGCTTGAAGCAAGCTCCTAGAACCTGGTTTGAGAAGTTCAGATCTGTTATCACTGACGCAGGCTTTATCCAGAGTTCTTCAAATTATTCTTTATTCATTTTAAGGCGGAAGCAAGGAGTGACATTCTTACTTCTTTATGTCGATGATATACTCATTACAGGGGATGGTGTAGAAGGAATTGCTGAGTTGCAACAGTTACTTAGTAAATCCTTTAAGATGAAGAACTTGGGGCCTCTGACATATTTCTTAGGGCTTAAAGTGAGCCGAAACTCTCGAGGCTATTTTGTTAACCAACAAAAGTATGTGGTTGATCTAGTTAAACTGGCCAATCTCAATGACTCCAAGACTATGGATACCCCACTAGAACTGAATTTGAAACTCAGCAAAGATGATGGTTCTCTTCTGGAAGGTCGTACTCTTTATCATCGACTAATAGGGAGTTTAATCTATCTCACCATGACTCGGCCGGATATATCATATGCAGTTCAGTTGGTGAGCCAGTTTGTGTCTTCTTCAAGACCTCATTTATTTGCAGTTCGTTGGATCATAAGATATGTATGGGGCACTTTATCACATGGGATATTTTTCTCCTCTTCATCTCCCGTTAACCTTACAACTTATGTGGATGTTAATTGGGATGGATGCCCTGACACCCGGACGATCCACTACCGGTTGGTATGTATTCTTAGGCAATTTCCTTATCTCATGGAAGTAGAAAGAAACAACCTACTGTATCAAAATCTTCCATTGAATTTGAGTACAAAGCTATGTCTTCCATGTATAGTGAAATCATATGGCTCCGAGCTATTCTACTTGAAATACTTAATGAACCATCACTGTCAATTCCTCTATATGCAGACAATGTCAATGCAATCAAAATTGCCTCCAACCCTGTCTTCCATGAGCGCACCAAACACATATAAGTTAATTGCCACTTCATCTGCAATCTCCTTCTTGAGGGTGTTATATCTCTTCCTCACATGGGCGGAGCTAGGGGGGACCCAAGGGAGCCATGGCTCCCTTATGGTCTAGAAATTTGCACACTCAATACATTTTTATATGTAACTTTGTTCCCTCCCCTCACTTTTCACCCAATGGTTGCCCCCTCCCCTATGGCCCATCCATAAGTTTTGGCCCCCCTCATAAAAAATTCTTGGCTCCGCCCCTGCTTCCTCATGTCTCCTCTAGGCCCCACTTGGCAAACCTATTGACAAAAGCAATGACTCGGGCTCGGCATCTATTTCTCATGGACAAACCGATGCTTATTCCTAGGCATTAGTTTGAGGGGGAGTGTAGATAATAGTGAGAAGATCTAGCCGCAAGGCTATTTTTGTACTTTTACTTCTTTTGTTGTACATCTATTTTTTGTACTCTTTCTTTTGTACACTAAGGGAAGATTTGTCCTTTTACTTTCTTTAATATAAATATCTCTTTTAGGGTGTCGGCAGTCACAAGGTGACACACCCACCAAACTGTTTGTTCTTTTCTCTCTTCTTCAGCCACAAAAACGAAGTGGGAGCAAAGAAGCTTACCATGTCAAATGGAGGAGTCCACCTGCAACCAAAGAAAGCAAGGAACCAAGCCCAAATGTCCATAGAAAATGAGCAAGAGATTAATAGTTGAAAGTAGGACTCCCCAGAACTCTTCATTCTAAACAAAAGCTGCTACTCTAGGAGGGATAGGTCTCCCCCAGAACTATGGAAAAGGTTGCATTGGGTGCATTGCATAAGAAAAGAAAGAATCACAAGAAAAGAAACCAGAAGGATAACCTAGCCATCAAATAAGATGGGTCAAGAGATGACCACAAATCTGAACCAAAAGATAACCTAGCCATCTCTCTTGAAGTGGTGACAATCTCCTTGTACAGAAAAAGTTCAAGTTCATCCTATGTTTTCCTTTTCTTTTTCTTTTGTTTTGCTTCTTTAGGGATGGAAACCACCTAAACACTAGCTCGCCCAATCCCCTAAACACCAACATCAGAAGATACAAATGGAAAACAAGAACACCAATCAAAATCACCAATTAAAACTTTGCATAATTACTTCACAACTTCAGTGACTTAGGCAAGATCCTCTTTACTACTCTTAAGACCTTTTTAGATTCTTTAACCTTTTTGTTAGGCCCAACCCCAAATAAACCCCCTTTCATCCTAGCTAAGACTTTTGAAACCTGAATAGGACAATGGTTTTTTTTTACTTAGGAAACGCTAAACAGCATTAGGAAACTTCTCAACATCCTTGAATTCCAAAGTGCAAACATTGAAATTCCTTTATCATTGTCCCCTACTACTCCAGATGATTCCATCCTCTCTTGAAATTCCTCAAAGCTCAAATTAAAACCACCCTCGTTATTTAACTTCTCTTCCTCCCTACTATCTTCCTCCCCCCCCCCCAAAGAAAAAACAGACCCAATACTTTACTAACCTCCAACTCTGCATTCATGACTTTATCAATGTCAATCATACATTCAACTGGATGTATCTCAACAGACCTCATCCAATTGATCATCCCCCCACCCCAGACTCAACCTCCTCTTCTCCATATATTTCTACTTAGGGTTGGACATTTATTGTAAAGAAATAAATAAATCCGCATCCTTTTTAATCTAGAAACTTAGATATTATATAGCACATATTAGGCCATAGGTTATGTTCAGAAGTTACAATTATATGATAGCATTTAAGTTATCTTACCACCAAAATAGGTATAGTATTTAGTAAGCATTTGATCACCATTGAGTATTGTAGAGACGATGGGCCAAATGGGCCATAGTTTCTTGTTTTTATTTAATTCTGTTTATGTTTTATGTTTGTGATTAGTGGACCTTAGTTATAGGCCTGCTTTCTTTCTTTTATTATTGCTTTTAGTGCTGGCCGCCCTACTAAGGGTATTCATGTAATTGTACTCACTTTACAATTAAAGAATAAAAGATAATTGTGGAGGAATGGAGAGAGGTTCGATTGACTCTCTTCCTTGTTCCCTTCTTCCTTTCTCTTCCATCTTCTTCTTCCACACTTTCTCTCTTCAATCTTCCTCTTCTTTTCTACTTTATTTCAGATTGTTACGGGTGGGATTTACAGATAGTATCAGGTCTTTAATGGACAGATCCAGGACCAAGGGTAGCTATGCCAAACCTGATGGGACATGGTCCAGACCCAACCCATGGCCACCCCTGGTTTGTACTTTGTAAATGCTTCCCAAGGCAACCAATGTAAAAAGAATAAATGTTATAGCTCTTGGATGAGTTCCTACAATTGATGCATTTTACTTTTTCTGCTAACAATTAAAACACCAACTGACTTCAATCATTGAGATGAGCACATTTTGATGCCTTAACCAAAGCATGCAGAGATAAGCATAAATTGAAATTTATGTATGCACAACATATCACCTATGGTTCACATATTGACTATGAATGAATTACAATACATATCGCTGTGCATGCAAAGAAAAGAAAGTCAACTACCGACATCTTTTGGGTCCAAGAGATTGATACGGGACTGATCTGACGGCGCAGACTTGGACATCTATAGACAACAACCAAGCCAAGAATCAGTAGATGTTTGAGCATGCTTTTAGAAGTTCATCAATGTTGCATATACATTGCCACCACTTTCCAGCAGGATTAATATTTAAAGTAAAGATGAATTTTACTTCTCAAAAAAAAAAGTAAAGCTGTACAAGTCAAAGAGTTTCATCTTAATCAGGTCCACACGTTTTAAACTTTTCAGTGAAACAAGAAAGGTGGAAGAAAACAATCATTAGATGTCTGAACACAATTTTAGATGTTCAGGCACGCCTGAAGAATGCAACTATGACTTCAATCACCCCAGATAAGGTGGGAAAATGGGGTACTTTGTACTAAGCACCGCCTTGTAATGATAAGCATACCATAGTTTATATGCATTTAAGACTCAAGAGCAACTGCTCTGGCCTTTGAAAGAGAAAATTTGGACTCCATGCAAGATGGCTCTAAATTGCAGTAATGCTTGAAAGGTAAGAATTGACTGATGGAGGTGGAGACATGAGAGTTTTGGCCCAAAAGAAACTTGATGACCTACTTACCCTTATATAATGGAATAGACAAGTCTTTGTTCTCACTCATCTAGGTTGCACTGGAATAACTCTTAGAAGGATCTGGTTGCATACAGAAAATATCTACATGATGACACGTGCTTTGACTACCATGACCTTAAAGCCTAGTCATGAGTTCCTGACAACAATTATTTTAACCCTACATTTAGCCTTTAGATTAAGATCATGTAACTTAACATCAGATCTAAGAACCTAGGTTTCAACAAATCCCCTGTAACCCTTTTTTGTCTCCCATGTGTAGCTGTTTAACTTTAAACTACATTTATAGATTCAAAATCATAAACCTTTGGTACCTTAGAAAGACCATCAGTGAGAGACATTACACGAGCTCCAGCTTGTGGTATGAGAGGTTCAGGCACCTAGAACAGTATATTGATTAAGGTAAGAGTCGCTCTGATTTGACATCAACTAGGCATCAAGGAATGGAAATAAGGAATCCACCTTAAAAATAGCACCACCGCGTCTGTCACCAGAATAACATAGGCAATCAAATCTATAATGTACAAAGAAGCATAAAATATTGAACCTTAAGAAATAATGTTCATACATAAATGGAAGAATTGCTTTTCTTACCCTCCCATTTTCTTCCACTTCCTCCCTCCATATAAATTATTGATTCGCTCAGCCAGTTCACGGGTTAACTCCATATGTTGCTTCTGATCCTCACCAACTGGGACAAAGTCAGACTGTAGAATCATGATGCAACTAGTAAGAATCAAGTATTCTGTAAGTATATCAGAAAGTATAATTAAGAGCAAAATACACATTAAATAGTAAAAGTAAATAAATAACTGAAAAGAACTCACCTATTCCCAACACCATCTCAAATTGAAAAAACAAGATTGGTTTTTCCTTTTTTCTCTTTGAGATTTCTAGAAAGATAAATGTTCTTTTTTGATAAATAGAAAGATAAATATATAATAGACTCCAAACTCCAATGCAAGGTTTGAGATAAAAGAAAAAGAAAAGCCAGTCATTATTGTGTGGTCTGTGGGAACCTAGACATCATGTACCAGTCAGTACAACATTTGCATAATTTCCTTCAAGTGAGGTTCTGTGGGGAGACTAGACATCATGTACCAGTATAACAGTTACAACAGCAAGCAACACACTTGCCACTTCCTTCAAGTGGAGTATGTGGGGAACCTAGAAATCATGTATCAGTAATTCACTATAACAGTTGCAAAACCAAGCAATAATATTTGCCACTTCCTTTAACTGTTTTAGTTTTAAAATATTTCATTCAGAAGAAAACAATTAATAGGGTCCTCTCCTGTACAGCTTTAGCATATCATCAGCTCTCGTAAGAGTTTCCCTCCCATCCTCACTTTCTTTAATTTATATTTTCCTTTCCTTGGCAAAAAAAGCAATTAAATAGTATTAAAATAGTATTAGAATCAATGTTTTAAAACACAGAGGCACAAGGCATTCCACTAATTGGAGGTGTGAGTCATAGTTCAGAATGTAAGAGGCATAAGCCTCCTTAAGAGGAAGGGGATGAGGAAGAACAGGGAGGATTTCGTCTTTTTTTTATGAAGATGTCTTGTATTAAGAAGAACGAAGATGCTTTAACACCAGCTGAAAGGGATGGTCTTGTTGAAGCCCCCCAGCCAAGAGGGTCCCAGCCCAAACTTTCTTTCCCCTTCTCTTTCCTTCTTTTCCCTTTCCTTTTTTCTTTCTTTCTTTGTTTCTTTCTTTTTGTATGAGGCACATGAAGCATACACCTCTGGGCGTATGAGACATATGCATCTGGCATATGCACACCTCAGGGTGTTTTGGGGGTGCCTCACCTGGAAGCGATCATGCCTTTTAAAACACTGATTAGAATTTAATTACCAGATAACATAGCTGGATAATAGCACTTTGAGAAACAACATTTAGTGACAGATTTCTTTGGCATTGTTTAAACATATAACCAAACAGACCCAGGCCTAATACTATTACAACATCATCATTTAGTATCGTAAAAAAATGTTCAAAAGATGTTTCCCAGAGAATGGCAATTTTGTGCACGTCATGTTAAATAATGTTAAATAAACAGCTCAATGAGTAAAAGACCACCTGATATAAAAGAATATCAGAAGCCATCAGAACAGGATAAGTAAGAAGTGCAACCCCAACATTTTCGTCACCCTACAAGACATTATGGAAATATCAGAAAATATTTGAAATGCTCAACAAAATTAAGTTGTGTTTTGAAACCAGGAACAAGTCCCCTGTGAACAAGAAAACTAAGAATAAAATAATACTCCAGGGTTCTTAATAGAGAACAGAAATATTTTCCATGCTTGCAGGTAATTTTGAGGCTTATAAAAAAGGGTTTGCAGATAAAAGTTAGGGATACAGAATAAAACATTAGAAAAGGGAAAATTAGTTATTGAAAACATAATGCTAAGGTGAAAAGTATGGCAACTTTAGCATTATATAAGTTGACATTCTGTTTGAAGTTGGGATATCCATTTGGCCTAATTAAGTGCTACAGAATGGACCTTTATTTGGGACTCCAATAGGCTTGTAGTTTATAGTCTGTGTTCAAGCAGCTTATGTTTCTTAAGAGTCAATAGTCAAGTTATGCATAGTTCTTGAGATCCATGTTCCATTTCTAAGTTAGGTTAGAAAGGAAATGGTTATAGTTATACTAGGGTGATAAATAGGAAGGGGTACGTTTGCAAGATATCTAAAATTTAGGAAGTCCTTATTTACTCTATTATAGAGAAGATGTACAAAGCAGATAAGAGTCGTTTGTCTATTTTCAGTGCATAAATTCTATTTCTCCTCCATTGATCTATTGGTCATGTGGTAGAAGTTTGGAAGTTTGTATTTACTTTTGAACTCAGATTCAGATCTGGCACTTTCTAACCACTGATCCAGGCCCAGCCAGTTGACTGGCAACTCAGTTACCCAATAACAAATCTGGTTCAGATCAACATCTAGTGTGCTATATCCAAAAAAACTATTGACTTTGTCAATGACTCATTACCCATTCACTGGATTACCTACTCTTGTTTTGAATTTCTAGCTTTCATGGCATCACAGATTAATACATTGACCCAGATAGTTAAACCAGCGACCTATCCATCAGAAAGGAAAATGATTCAGCCTCCAAGTCAGATTTTAAAACATTGTTCAGATCTGAAGTGTTTTTTTTTCTTTCAGGTAAAGACCAGAATCAAGATAGTTTATTCCAGTTTAGCTTCATAATCTTGATCGTTGGATAAGATATTCACTTGTTGCCTTCATTTCATCACTGCACCACCATTATATAAATCCATTATGAGCTTTTGCTCAACCATAGGTTTTATCCATTTTCTTCCTCCAACAAACCAACTACATTATTTTTTTTTATCAATAACACTTTCATTAATTAATCAGTAGAAAATTTACAAGTGGAAGACAAACACACTTATCTTCCAAGAGTCACAAAGAACTTCAAGAAAGGAAA